ACGAAGAGGCGGGCCAAGTGTGTGGACAAAGTGTGTCAGTGTCTGTGCGGGTAGAGGCGGCCACCTACTCTACGTGCGGTAGGAAAGGTTATTGGCCGGTTCAGACAGGAGGGGAGAGACGAATGTGTCAGATGCTTTAGCATCTGACACATTCGGGTACACGGAGCATGGGACAGGGAGTCGACCCGCGATCTACCAGCGATAGCTTTGCGATCGACTGGTAGATCGCGATCGAACTTATGGGCACCCCTGTATTAGAGTATAGTTAAACCTGAAACATCTGACCACAAACCTAGATAGGTAAAGTACATGAGACTTTCTGATTTTCCCAGTGACAACTAATAATAATATTTAAGTCTAAAAACATAAAAACATCTAATTTGATTGGTGTGGAGCAATGCAGATAATCCCTATGTAAGAATGCCCCTAAAACAGTCTAAAGATATTAATAAACAAGAGATCATTTCCCCCCAATCCAACTAAATACAATCCAATTTTGAACCAAAAGTCTGTCTGTAGGCAGGCTGGGACTTCCTTGACTAACTGATCTAAGATCTAGATCTCATCTGTGATGACATTTTACTGGCTAATCACTATTGTTCCTCTAAGAGAAACTGTTTCTAACAATCATTTGCCAGTTGGATCATTTAACCTATATCTCATCTTTGCAGGTATCTTAAAGTGGAATGCTAGCCATTTTTCAATTGCAGAATGGTTGGGAGCTTTGTAAGGATTTCAAAGTGCAACCAAAGTCAAAACTTTTTTAGTTTTGGATAGAGTGAGATTAGAACACCCATCAGCTTTTTATTGCTGTCTGTTTCCCGTTAGAGGGATTCACTCTTGCATTGGGTACACTAGTTCGGGTGACCCTGCTGACCACCAAGGATTTTTCTAATTTTGGAGAGATTTCCTGGCATGGATAATGGGCAGGAAATGAAGGGAAGTCTTGCCATGGGACATAGATGGCAAAACAAAAGCTGACAGGGGTTATTACTCTCCCTTACTTTGCCAAAAATGAAAAAAAAAAGGTTTTGGCCTCAGTTCTACTTTAAGCTTTCTACATCCAAGTTGGGGAGATTTCTCTTACTGCCTTTCTGTGTTTTAGGTGAAAAAGGACATAAATACATTTCACTATCAGGCATATAGACAGAAACAAAAACCTGAGAAAAAGTTCTAATCCTTCACTATACTACTAATAAATGTATTTATAGTGCAGTGTCCAGGTTGGAAAAAATTCTCCTAATTTCCTGTCTGGTGACAGAAAAAGAAATGGAAGGAGAATTCTCTTCACACGTGGAACAGAACAGAACAGCAATAAATAACTCTCAGCTTCTAACCCTTCCCCATTCTGTCAAAAGCAAAATATATTAAGCCAACATAACCTATGTCAGTACAAAACACTCGCCTATCTTATTCACTTGCACAAAACAGATCAATTTTTTGTAAAAAGTGAAACATGTACTTCTATTATTTTTACATATCATTAATATATAGGTTACCTGACAGAAGCAGACAAAACTGTTTGTATTTTATAATTTGAAATGCTGTCTGATACACAGCAATGTACTGCATATCTGATTTGCTTAAAATTACTATATATGCAAATGATTGGTATAAAAGTGAGCACATGTACACCTGTCTAATGCAAAATTAATACTTGTGTGTAGGCAAGTATATAAATCTACAGAACTGTATACTGCTTTCATGTTCAATAACTGATTTATAATTCATTTGGTAGGATTTAAAAACGATTTTGAGAAAAATGTAAATGCTAAGTAAATGTTACCAATATGTTGGTATGGAAGGGGAATATAACATTCTGTACTTGTAAATGATCATTTTTAATTAGTAACAGCTTTGAGCTCTCCCTGTTTATCTTTAATGAATAGGTATGACAGAGGGAGATCCAGTGTGGGATGCATTAGTCGAGGCACTTCTTGGGGCACCATCAAATGAAACAAAGGAGTGTCACCAGCCTAAAGCCATCCTGCTGAATACTGGAGAGGTATATGCCTAGTCTGGCCAATTCATGACTTGGAACCTGGGGCGCAGAAAATCATTTTATGAACATTAATATCTCACTCCAAATAATTACATAGGGCCATGAGCTCTGTCATGTTACGATCAAATAATGTATCACCCTACATAGTAAGACAAATATGAACATTTAATATCAAGCAGTTTTTTGATGTAGAACAGCAGACATATATTAAAAACACCTTTAGTCACATAATGTAGTGTGATTGGGGATATTAGCACATATGGTGGAGTGCTTTAAGAATGCAGTCCACTGGCAATATCTTCTTTTTAAGGGCTTCTTTTTACCAAGCTCGGTAGCCCACTATTATTTCACACAAAGGAAAGTTCACACATCCACATTGTATGATACTGTATGAGAAGAAAGAGGAGGGGGTAGGAGCTACATGAAAATTACTTGTAGTAAGTGATGGCTGGCTGGACTCAGACTGTGTGTCTTATCTTTCTCTTGGAACACTACACCCACCTCTGGGTCTCTGGCCACCAGATGCATTGTGGATATTTAAGAGACTTTCAAAAACTGCAGAATGTCAATCACACAGACCTGATTAATGAGATAAGAGGATCAGTAAAGTGTCCTGTAGTCTGGAAATGTAAAGTAGTTATAGATTTTAGAGCACTTTATTAACAAGTTAAGGGATCCCTAAAACAAGTGCAGCCTTCTATGTATATCATAACAGGAACATGTACTGAAAATAACATGTACATATTATAGAAAGTACAATACATATAACAACTGTACATTGTGACATCTACAGGCCAGAGGTGTGAACATCACCAGAAAGAATGAAAGCCTGATTATCTAAGGAGCAAACATGGCTGCCCCATGTACATAGATACAGTAATTACAAACTATGCATGAAGCAAGGATTTTAAAACATTGACACACTTTGATATAATTATTTAAATCTGTCTGATCTTTATCACGTGTTTACCTAAAAGCATAAAAAAAAATTGGGGGGTGCTTCTTTAAAGGAAAAATAACAAATGGAAATGGTTTAGTTGCTTGCTATGCACAACACAGAGCCTTGTATTTTAGACAAGATATTTGGGTTTATTTTGCAAGCAAAGGCAATGATGTGCAGCCGTGAAAACCTGATTTCAAGTTTAATCCGGCTTAAAGTGGCTATAACAGAAAAATTGATTTTGAATGGTTGCTATGGTGTATTGCACTTTGCACATTGCTCTTTGGTTATTCATATTCATGGGGGCATTCTGTTTTTATTCATATACAGTGAGCATCTTATGAGATTTTATGTCCTTCATTCTTAAAAGGACCATGTACTTCTCAAGTTTAAAACTCTGTTTAATAACTACTAAGTATGTCTGCTTCTTCTAGATGTCCAGACCTCTACCGTGGCACCCAACAATCATTGATGTTCAGATAATCACTATTGGATCTTTGGCTATACTTGCTGTTCCCGGAGAGTTTACGTAAGATCTAATAAATCCTGATACTAAATGTTAGTGAATAACCATTAAACCTTGGACGCATTTTTAATTACCTGTTGAGTCATTTTGCCTTATGATTTCTTTCTGTATAGAACCATGTCTGGAAGAAGACTAAGAGAAGCTGTCAAGCAGGTGGGTAGGTTACATTGAAATGAATAAAGCTTAGTTGTTTTAGCATAGTGTATGGTGGAAACTAATAAACACATATATGTCTACTCATTAATTGTTTTTTTTTAATATAATCTCATCTTTGTTGGTACTGGGGAAAATCATAAATTTTACCAATTAAAAGTCACTAAAGACAAAAGTGATGTTTTATTTTATAACAGGTGCTAAAGTTTTAAATTTGCTATTGGTTTCTAATGTGTCTCAAGTAACTTATGCAAATTAAATTGGCCCATCAAGCACATAAGGTGGTTATGCCACTATACCTTGGACCCAAACTGATTAACTGTACCCATTAAACCACATACCTAATGTACACTGAAATGTAAATCATCTTCTTAACAGAGATTTGGTGTATCTTCTTAATTTAAAATAATGCAAAATTAAGATCAAATTAATTATACTTAATGCGTTATTTTGCAGTCGTAACTATGACATTCATATTTCTTCATGTGTTGTTCTCTTGGAGCTTACCTTTATTTTAGAATATACAGTCTTGAGGGAGGGTTTTCCTCAGTGTGGCAGACAACTGGTCCTGTTTGGACAACCCAAGTTAGTGGACATGGGCCAGGGATGATTTAAGAAGGCTACTAGTACAGTGGGTAAAGGAGTGAGCATGCATGAGCCAGTTTCAGCAGAACATTTTGGGAGCAGGGTGGCAGTTGGCTAACCAACCCTTGGGGGATACCCATAAGATCAATTGCAGAAGCAGAAAAGCCAAGAGGGAGAGCTTTAACAGTAGTTTTCTGGTCCAGTTTTGCTGCAAGTGCCCAACTGTCTTCTGATGTGCTAGATTCTTTTCCCATGTAAAAAACACAGGTGCCTATGGATAAGTGCTAGAGCTGTGTGTTATACTGTCACCTAAAACTACATAGTTAGAGATGGTCATTTATGTAGATCAGAGTCATCCTGTTACACTTATGTTGGATTGTCTGGTCACTAATACTGAGTCGTGCCTCACAGGTGGTTTGCCATGAAATTTTACAAGCACTAAAGCAGCTATCATAGGAAAACTATCATTTGCACAGCTGCCAGTGAGTTACTTGGTTGTTTTGTTTGTGCTGTTTATATCCCTGTGTCTGCAGTTTGATTCTTTGTTCGAGTGACACCGATATCTCAGATGATTTGGCAGAGAGTCTTGGTGTGCCTGCCCATATTTAGTAATGATATTACATTTGAATGTTTGTACTTTTTTTGTTATGGAAAAGCAATCCTAACAATGACAGTTACCCAATGCACACATGTTATTTTTAAGGAACATTGCTAGAAATTCTCATTGATGTAATCTAACATAACTGTCTCAAGTGCCTTTATCAGTGTCTGATACCTCTTGTGGTTACTTGTTATAATTAAATCTGTTCACTTGCAGCCTGTCTTGTTTTCTTAGGAACTGGATCCATCTAATTCTACAAACACTGATGTGGTTATTTCAGGACTTAGTAATGTATATACACATTACATTACAACCTTTGAGGAGTATCAGGTAAACAGAGGAGGACATCTGGAGAGGGAATGGCATTTAACTTTGAAATTAAACATAAATGCTGTACTGTATATGACCTTTTACAATTAATACTGTATAAGCAACGGTGCTGTAAAGTGCTGGAATCTAATTCACTAATGTAAGTCATCATAGCCTGTAAATTCTAAATACTGTTTAAACAATTGACGATTCCTCTGCCATTTATAACAATATCAAAATCATCAAACAATGGAATTATTCATTTAGACTTTTAGGGTATGGCTATTTAACTTTAAAGAGGACTTATCTTAAAGTGCGTGTGTACAGTTGAAAAAGGGAGCCCCCTTTTTCTCACCCACCTGGAAAAACAAATTGAGTAACACAACAAATCTCAGATTGTTTCTAAACCTGGTTTTCAATGCTACGGTCTACCTGCTGCTGGGTAGCACTTACAGTGCCTGGTGAAGCAAGCTCACATGTGCAAGAACACTGCAATATAAATAAGTTGTATACTCATTTCCTGCATGCGTTTTTGTACATGTGCTATAACATTCATAGCGCTCTGCATCAGAGGCTGTGATCACTCACAGGTGGCCTTTAGGCCATGGCAGTGAGAAATGGGTAAAGCCATGATCTGAGATCTGTATCTCTAGCTCATTTATTGATAACGGCTGAGGGTCTAAAATTCCTGATACATTTTTTTGCCAAGGCCCCTCCTAATTATGTTTTACAGACAATTTTACTAATCAGCCTTAATTGTCACCATTTGAGCTAAAATGACCACCAGTTCACAAATTAAGATACATACTATAACTAAAGGCATGGTGTAAGTTGTTGACCAGGGTGACAAATATCTCCCCTGTAATGATTACACCTACCTTATCTACCAAATAATAATCATGTAAGTATGAAAGTCTTCCCCCTGGTAGATATTATAATTCTTCCACTGCTAATTGGAAGAAAGAGAAAGATTGGCATTCATATCCCAACAGAAAAAACAAACCACATAGTGTCGCTACATCATAGGTTTTTTTTCAGACAAGTATTTCATACATAATTTTTTTATGTTAAAGTATACCACTTATAATGAAAATATTTTAAGCCAAGCCGATGCAAATACTGGCTTGAAAGACTATAGGACTGGTGATCAGTTCACCATGCTATACCCAATCCATATATACCCAATCAGGGTTTTAACATAGTTTTAAGATGTTTTAAAATGATAAATTGAATTCTATTGCAAATAAAAAAACTGTGTCAGATTTTATACCTAAAGAGGTATTAATGTTTGCTAGCTTGATCTACCATACAGTAGTAAGTGCTGCAGGGTTTTATAAACTCTAATATGCATGTATTCAAAAAGTTATACATGTAGAATAACTATATTTATGTAAAAGTGTATTTCATTTCAGCACATCATAAACTGATTTCTAATTTCTATGTGCATGGCAATATAACCAGCAAGCAAATTTTTGTACACTAAAAACTGACCTGGAAATGTGAACATGGAGAGGATTTTTTAAAATGTATGAATAATTTGTTGTTGATTGGTGATCTGCAGAATCCTAATGACCAGGTTCACTCTGCTTCCAATAACATATGAAAGATCTAAATACATTTTATTTTCTCATGCTAGGCTCAGAGGTACGAGGCTGCATCTACTATTTTTGGGCCTCACACACTGTCTGCCTACCTGCAACTGTACAGAGGGCTGGCCAAAGCAATTGCAGAGGTAAATGAAACTACGGTTGATGGGTCATTCCATCCAAACTGATAGGGGTATTGTTTGGCTTAAAGTGTTAATCTATATATTTTTTTCTTTTGGGTCTAATAAGGGACAGTTAAAACCCTCTGACATATTTTTTTTGTTGCTGCAGTTGGTGTGCCTTTGTGTCTATCCTGGCGACCATTGTAACTGGTAAAGAAGTTTATGGGCAATACAAAATGTTCCAGTAGTCACTATAACAGGAGGTTGGGGTAATCTTCCCATAGGGACACCTCTTCTGGTGACAGCTGTCTAAGTGGGTAACTGCAGTTGCTTCACTCACATGCTTTTCTTTAAACCCTTAGGGACTTCAGTGGTCTGCTGCTGGAGTTCTTGGCTCTGACTTTCTACCATGGTGTCTCACTTTATCTTTTGCAGCAGAAGGCACTTTCTATGTTCTCCTTTCTCTGAAATGTAAAATGTCAATACAAAGTGTAACATTAAACATAGAAGGAGACATGATAATATCACAAATATGTCAATGATTCAATGTTCAGGAATATGGCCAAATGTTCACAATTTAGAATCTAAATAGACAGTTTGGGCCTGGACATTTGTGGCAAGATTTGTATCTGCCTGCATGTGTTCAGCCAGCTAGATTTGGGTGAGTCTCCCTCTAGTCGTATCTGCCAGTATTGAACACCGTGATAACTGCTTGACAGCCCCGTTTTACATTCCTAAAGGAAATTCTTTCCTCATCCCATCTCCAAACAAAGATCTTTCTCTGCTTAGCAAGTTGCCATGGGTGTGGTCTTCTTGGCCAAAGTCCAGCAGGAAAAGTGAGATTCTAAGGTTGCAGAGATCTCACAGCCTTGGAATTTATGAGACAAATAAAATTATGGTTTGATCAATATTCACAGTGCATTCATTGTCTTTCAATACTGACCATTGTTTGCACTGTAAATAAATTTTTATTGAACTTTTACAGATAAGCTTTAGAAATATTACATATATTTGCATATGAGCCAGGACCAGGTATATGTCTCAGTTGTTAATAATTTAGAATTGTGGAAATAGAACAGAAGGGCTGAGCAATGGAGAAGGAGAGAGGGATGTAGTCACTGAAGGGCCCCCTAAATTCCCTACCAATAGATAAACACTATTGAGAGGTAAAACTGTCAGCCAGAAGAGAAGCATGAGCGTATTGGATCCATTGGGTCCATATTTTAAACATTTATTTTTAGAGTCTTAAAGAATACTGGTGTTTTTTTCATTGATAAAGAATAAGTCAAGCATCGCCTAACCTATGCGTCTATCTTTTAGATTGTAAGCTCTTATGGGCAGGACCCTTACCATCATGTCTTAAATTGTATTGTAACTGTAATGACTTCCTTATATTGTAAAGTGCTGCACAAATTGTTAGCACTATATAAATCCTGTATTATAATAATAATAATAATAATAATAATAATAATAATATTGTAATAATTGTTTCTTCCAAGCCTTAGTGATGGTTTGTTTAGCCAATAATAAGACATAAGTAGCTTATTTAAATTGAGGTTTGGTAAGGCAGGGAGGTTTCAGATGTAAAAGTGTGAGAAAAGGTTCTCTTGGAAAAGAGTTGTTAAATAAGGTTTGTAGGAGTCTAAATACTTTGGTCCAAAATTCACTCAACATGGGACAGGTCCACCAAGTGTGTATCACATCCCCAGTAACATTGCAACTCCTGTAACACATATCTGTAAGTGAGGGATAAAAGTACGTCAATTTGAATAGAACCATATATCAATGGGTGAGTACCTCAAGTGCCGATTCAACTTTAATTATATTATTGAACAGGAAGTGGCTGGACCAAATTTGTAGTTTGGTTCTCCTCAGTTATGGTGCCCTCATGTTCCAGCTGCTACTTGAAAACATAAGTGTGAACTGTATTCTTAGGCAGACAGCAAAGTTGGCAATAGACAATAGAAATCAATTTAGGGTAGAGAGGCATATGATCTCACCATCACATCAGGGTTTTCATTTATAGCTTTTAAAATACTGTGGGTGACTATTTTGTACAATTAATGTGTTTGCGCCATAGGGCATGTTAAGAAAAATAGAAGTTTCACTATTTAAACCAATCTAATACATTAATTTTTTTTAACTTCTTCTGAAAATATTGCTCTATTAGAATTTGCTTAGTTACAGTGGACAGTACATATGCATTTTTCCCCCTAACGATTGAACTGAAATGACCATGCAGTACGACAAAATATTACTGAAAGCACTTAATAGCATTCACAATGAAGGTGATCTGTTTGTTCCTAATACTTTTTGTTGCAGAATACAGTTGGTGAATTGCCTAAAGGACCACAGCCACCATTTTTTAATGAATCACAACTTTTTACCTTCTTGGGGGCTGTGCTTGTAGATAGAGCCCCAGGAAATACAACATTTGGAGATGTTTTGGAGGAGGCAAATCATCATTATCTGCCAGTAAGTAACAAATACTTGAATAAGATTATATGTTAAATTTGCTCTCTCTTGGGTTTAGCTTTTGATAAGAGTATACTGTATGTCATGACTGTCTATTAAATAAAAAAACAAAGTAGTAGAGGAGATTCACCACAGCAGCAGGACAACTTGGTCCCAGAGGAGGAGTTTCTAGTATATTAGGTAAGAATGGTTGTCTAAGCTTCCTTGCCAATTATTCCTCCCAAGCATTGTTGTGCTTCCATCCCAAAGACAAATCACAAAGCTGCCGAAGGATCCAGCCGTAGCTTCGACTTATCCTTCGGCTAGCTTCGGTTACTGGAGCCCTTCGGTTCATTGGAACCGAAGGGCTGCTGTACGGGCTATTCACTATAGCCGTACAGCTCCCCAAGTTGGCCGAGCGGCTCGGTCGAGCCGAAGGCCAAGGAGAAATCCGAAGCTGGCCATTAGCCGGCTGAAAACCTGGTACTGACAGCTGGGCAGAGCCAGCCATCATCTCACGGTTAGCTCCGGCCACTTGCATGGACAGATCAGCGTCCCCTGGTTACTAGGTAACCAGGGGTCGCTGATCTGTCATTACACTGAGAAGTCGGCCGAGCCGTCGTGATATCACGGCGGCTCCACCGACTTCTCAGTGTGTAATGACAGTTCAGCGTCCCCTGGTTACCTAGTGACCAGGGGACGCTGAACTGTCATGAGAGCTTAGCAGAGCCGGCGGTGATATCAAAAACGGCTATGCTGAGCTCTCATCGTAATGACAGAACAGCGTCCCCTGGTTACTGGGTAACCAGGGGACGCTGATCTGTCATTACAATGAGAGCTTAGTGGAGCCGGCTCTGATATCACCGCCAGCTCTGCTAAGCTCTCATTGTAATAACAGCTGGTTCTGGCTAATAGAAAATAATCGTTTTCTATTTTTTTTCTACTTTTTTAACTGTTTTTCTATTCTGCTTAGTACCACAGAGGTACCGAGCAGAATAGCTGAGCTGAATGCCGCTCGGTTGAGTTGAACTCCTTCTGCTGAGCATGTTCGGCCGACCCGCAGCCAGCCGCAGCAAGCCAATGTACGGCTGATTTCAGTCGGTGTACGGCTGAAATCAGCCGTACAAGCCTGAAGTGAATAGCCATACTGCATTCGGCTCACTTCGGGTCGGTTATTCACACGGCTGCCTTCGGCAGCTTTGTGAATAACCCTCATAGAAACTTTTTACAGGGCTTCCACTACATGCGGAATGTGGACCCCCTTTTTCTATACTATATGTCACATGAAAGAGAAATGAGAGCAATCGAGAAGAGGCATGAAGACATAGGAGCAAGTCTTGACCAGGACAATAAGCAAACTTTGTTATGTTGCAATAGAGTCTATCAAGTCTCATATACAAAAAGATAACCCAATGACCAGATCATTAGTATAGAGGAAGAAGTACATATTTTTGTTCTTGAGTTAAAAAATAGACCATTGCCAAATTATAACAGAATACAAATACTGAGCTTTTCAGCACTGCTGCAGTCTTGTAGACGGGCCATTGTGTTTTAGGTACTTTGCTTTGGTTTGTGTTTACAAAATGTTATGTTTGAAAGTTAACATTATGCTATTATTATGTCTTAACTTTATTTAGATTATGTAAAGAGAAGAAAGTTACAGGTATCTTTGAGCTATGAGTAGCCCAAAATGTGATTCCAACAGTATCCCTCTTAGTACATAGATCCAATACACTGTTTTCTTTATAGAGATTGTCAATGTGCATTCTTATTTGAGTGAATGTAACTAATTTCTATATTATGCCATGCACAGGGTGAAGTAGCTTCAGTAACATTTGTTGCTGGGAACCCCAGGAATTCTGTGACATACATGGTAAGTGAGAATTAGCCGCACTCCAATGGTAAGTTGAAGAATGTGGCCCCATATGTTGCTTTTTGCCATGGGTATGTCTTATGAAAAAGATACATTCTTTAACCTTATGTTTTCAATGTATGACACAATACCTCCATTTGCTGCACCCATCTATTAATGGTTCTATGAGTATGCTGTGCTGAATGGTGGCTGCTCACATATAAATGTCACACTTCTGTGCATTAAAACAGACTAGCTACATGTAGACATGCTGTGTATGCAGACCAGTTTATTTGCCTGTTCAAAATTCTGCACCTGGAAATTCTGGGCCAAAATGGAAGATTTGTGTCAGAGATCTCTAGTGATATAAAGTAGTTTATAGGTCTACATTCACAGTATAGCCCAGAACTAAATGTAATTTAAATTTACATGTATGCTATAGTGACATATTTGTGTAGTTGCTAATAAAGGCCCTTTCCACCTTTGTAAGTGATTATCATTTATTGTGGTAATGAAGAGGAGCAGTGATGATGTATAAATGTGCACATTTTCATGACTCACATTGCAGTCTTTCTTAATTTCTTTATGAAGGTTTTATTAGGCCTGAAGCCTGAAATTTGTGAATGTTCTCCACAGGAAAATCAGTCTGACACCAGGGTGTGATACTATAATCAGCTGCCCCCCTCCCTGTCACCCATTGTAACATTATCAGTAAACACCAGCTCTGCCTTTACACACAATACACTGTCCGGAGGGAGTGGGTAGATTAACACACATTTCTTGCACAGCACAGGGGCAGAAGATTCCATGTGGAATGTGGATATGAAGAGGAAAGCTAACATAAAATATAAGTTTCTGTTTTCATTTACATCTGCTGCATATGCCTGCTTCATGTACACCCAGTGTCCGCATATATTTTTTAAAAATACCTCTGCAAAGAAGGAAATGGGGTTTAAGCTTGAGAGACACATTCTTTATTTCTAATTTGCCACAAAGTTATTAGTTATTTGAATTTTGCTCACATTTTGTTGCAATGTTTACATTTTTAGGCTGTGCACTTACAAGTTACTACACTGTAAGATAAGTCTTTTTATGTTTATCCTAAATTCTAAACTTGTCGACGTAAGGACTTGTCTGCTGTGACGAACATGGCTGCTTTGTTCTAGCATTGTGAAATGTTAAATGTCTGATAATACCTTAATTTTACTAAAACGTCTCTGAGCATTTTTTGGGTTTCTAAGTTTTCTTTTTTATATATTATAGGCTGAGGACACTTACCTTAAAGTAGAGAAATATGAGAATATAACAGGAACATGGCGTACTGTTCATAATGATGCCTCATGGGAGACAAGGTGAGTTATGCCTGTGAAGTTGCATTCCTTGCATTGAAATGAGTCCCTGTTATGCCACAAATTTAAGCTGAAACTCGACTGTGAAACTGAAATTCCTCAATTGATGAGGTACAGAGCATTGTGTATTCTACAATGTCCAAGAGCCACCAAATTCTTCTTTCCCTGATCTGGGAACAGTAAAGTAAATTCTGATTGGTTTACATGTTACCACAATGTACATATTGTTGTTGTTCCCTGCACATATTTGTAGAATAAGCCCCTTTGTGTTCTGTGATTACTGAAAACTGTGTTGGTAGAACAGGTGGATGTGTGTATGCAGAAACCTCAGAAATGTTAATAAAAATGTTTATTTTTTTTCTGTTACAATTATGTAAATTCAAATTAAAATGAAAACTATGGGGTCTATTCACGAAGCTGCCGAAGGATCTGGCCGTATCTTCGGCCGATCCTTCGGCTAGCTTTGGCCCCAGGATCCCTTTGGTTCAGTAGAACCGAAGGGGTGCTGTACGGGCTATTCACAATGGCTCCCGATCATGGCCGAGCGGCTCAGCCGAGCCGAACGCATATGCATAGGTCCCTCTGAGGGACCGAGCAGAACAGCCGAGCCGAATGCCGCTCAGCGGCATTCGGCTATTCACTCACTGCTGTTCGGCATCTTTAAGAATAGCCCGAACAGCAGTGAGAAGCCTGCCGGAGGTTCGGCTCAGCCGATCCAGATGTTGGATTGGCTGAGTCGAACTCCTTCTGCACTTCGGGTTGGCCGAACATGCTGAGCATGTTCGGCCGACCCGAAGCCACACGAAGCAAGCCGATGTACGGCTGATTTCAGCCGATGTACGGCTGAAATCAGCCCTACCAGCCTGAAGTAAATAGCCCAACAGTGTTCAGCTCACTTCACTTCAGATCGGTCATTCACTCGGCTGCCCTCGGCAGCTTAGTGAATAGACCCCTATGTCTTACCATGTTGAAACCCATGCGTCCTGTATATGTCCTGTATTGAGTCTCAGCACAGGATATATGTGGTAAATGTCTCTTATGTTATATGTGATATAACGATTCATAATTAACATCTACCTCATACTTTTACAGATATTACTGGCATAAAGGGACCGGAGGTCAAAGCAATGCTACAATTGAATGGCACATACCTCTCTCAGCAGAACCAGGAATCTACAAGATTAGTCACTTTGGTTATTATAAAGAGACACTTATACCTGCTTCCATAAAGCCATATAGTGGCATTTCATCTCAGTTTGAGATCCAAAAGCTTTACTAGCGTCCATGTTAGACTTTTGGTTTACAGTAAAACTATGTATTTGAATGGAAGATGAAGCCGTCCTGTAATATACAGATTTTTCCCCCTTAAATAAAATATTCTGTAAGTGATGTAAACTTACGCCTGACTTTTCTCAAACCTTAAAACAAACATTTTGTGTCTGTCAGAATATTAGGAATGTTTAATTTTTTGAATCCTGATGACATAACAAAATGCTGTCTTCTGTCGCATTATGAATGTAAAGTAACTGATATTATCATTAAAATAATTTATGACTTTGTGTTTTATGTACTTTTCCTTATTTATTGGCGGCCCACTTCCTAACAGGAGAACTATTTATGCCATATGGTTTCTTTCTCTGGCAACAATTCATACTGTGATGATGGCACTCTCAGCCTTACCCTGCAGAAAGATTTTCCAACTCACAGGGCAATAATTTAACCGCCAGTAGCCTATATGATTGTCCCTGGGATCCATAAACTCTTTACACACACAAACAGTAGCTGCCAACACGTTTTATACCAGTAACATGCACACATTACCCGTTATAGCAATTCTGACCTTTATGAAAACTTTGCGACACCCACTGCCACTCCACACAGGAATGAACCAGAGTTTAAAATATGGTAGCTTTCTTCAAAGAGGTAAGCATTCTCCAATTCCTGATTAGAGAATCAGCTTAAACATTTTAAAATATTGTGTTATACCATACAGGGACTCTTATACACATGCACACACAACAAACACACACAAAGGTTGAACTTGATGGGCTTGTGTCTTTTTTCAACCTCAAATACTATGTAACTATTTAACTATGTTTTAAAAAGGAAAAGAAAAAGAATTACATTTTTTTTGCAGAAAAGGTGTTACAAAACAGACAATCACAGTAAAATAAATGGGATATAAAATTGAAAAGGTCTTTGGCTCTGACAGAGTCCAGTTAACTGCATTGCAAGTCTGATTTAGACCGAGTCCCTGGCCCTCAGAAAGGACTCTCAGCCTCAGCATTCATGCATAGCTTTTATGGAAAATTGAGACCCCATTCACACCTAGGTGTTCCGTCACGCATATGTATGTGCACCAAACGTTCAGCACCTAAATTACCATTAATTTAAATGGCCCCCATTTATCAGGCAAATGCCTGTTGTTAAAAAAAGTTCCTGAGCTTTTTTGGGGCGTTTTTGCATGCGTTTGGCCCCCATAGACTTCAATAGAAAAACCTGAAAAATGCGTGTCTTTCCATTGACCGTCTAGGTGTGAATGCAGCCTGAGAATCCCTGAGAAAAGCATTTACAGAAATTACATAGCCGATCAAACAGTCTGCGGAGTGTGCTGTGGGGTGTTGAAGTGTTTAATGATAGTTCAACAGACACTTCCACAGTGCTAATTTATCAATATTTCCAGATACCCATGTTTCACAGTCTGACAATATGTAACATATTATTGCACAGAACAAAACTATGAGTTGATAGACATCAGACATGATAATGATCTTATGCATATTCTCCTTGGGAGATGTGATGTGACCAATTTACCCTCTAAATATTTTAGCCTAGGTATGTCTGGTACCTGATTGATAGTAACTCTCTTACACATATAGGTACATTAGATACATTTAGGTAGACACTTGTTATGACTGCAATTTTTTTATATCAGGATTTATGGAATGTGAATAGATTTTGAGACCTGGGCTGTATGAAAAGGGCACTTTTAGAGAACAAGACTCAAATGGCATTCAGAATACAGCCTGTTGAGAGATCTGCTAGGGGCTTTATGATGTGGCAATTTTACAACTGCTATTAGTAGGTCTGGATTATGAGACAACCTGCTAATGGGTTTTATGGCCTCCAATTAGCCATTTAGAGGTTTTGCAGATCCTGGGATAAGCAGGATTTATGACCCTACTTGACACTGCACATTCAAGGGGGCAGGGGTAAGCACTGGACCTTCAGAACAATATTGACATGTGCTGGAACATTTTACTTACTCTCAGGAGCCTAGCTCTACTTCAGCTGCCCAAGCCTAACACAGAAAAGATATGCAGTGTTGCTGGAAACATCATTCATGTGCTTGTGGCTGCAACAGTCATGTACTGAAAATCTGGGTTTCCAGGAAATGTGGGCTGACAGTAATATTTTGGAGGGAGATTTTCTTACGTCCATGAAGTTGTATTGTTTAATACTGGTCAAGGGATTGTAAAGCTGTTGATCAGGACGCACAAAATGTGGACATTTGTCATGAAGGTGTTGCAAAGAAGTATTGATCTTAGAGACATTTATGAGGTAAAAGGCACTTGGGTTATATTTGAATGCAAATGCGATTTCTCAGAATATAATTGATGAGAACGTTCGTTTAAAGGGTCACTTTGCACAAAACATGTGTGTTGTAGCTCCACCTATTGCATTCTCCATAATATAACATGAATATAAAATCCAATAGGGAAAGTGGAACATCTTACTAATGGCCAGGGAAAGATAGGTATGCAAGTCTCCATAAGTGGAAACAGTGGCGGACCTAAGGAACAAAGGGCCCTGGTGCAAGATTTTTTTTGGGCCCCCCCAAAAAAACCCCCCCCCACAAACACAGCGCTCTCCTTCCGCAGCGCTCGGCCGGCTGTCATGTTTCTCTCCTCCCCGCTGGGACACAGAGCAGCGCCCAGCGGGGAGAAAAGAAAGCATGGATGCACCGTTGTATCAGCAGAAAAATTGCACTTTCGCCATTATGCCAAAAGTGCCATTTTCGGCCAATATGTTTTGGCGGCCAATATATGGTGCAACCCTAATATTTACAGCAATGCAGAATGGCACAGGCTATAGAGGGCAATACTTTATATAACAATAGCATTTCTGTATAAAGTACTGCTGAGATTTGTAGTCCTCAGCAGGCGATTGCTTGTAAGTCATACAGCAATCGCCTGCTGTTAAAAGCGGTACCAAGAGCACGGCTGCCCAAGCAGCCGTGTTCTTGTTTTAACCACTTCTGCGGGCCGCCGTCTATAGACATACTGCGGCCTGGAAGTGGTTAAAGTGACATTAAAGTACGTTTTTTTTAATCCCTCCACCCAATGTTAATGTTAGCACTTACCTTCACTGATGTCTCTTAATCCGATCTTCTTTCCTGATGTTTTCATCTGTCCCTCCAGCAGTGCGGCGGCTCTCCGATCCAGCACTGACTCCTCTGTCATTGCTTGCACTTCCTGTCCCACGGTGTCTGCACGCAGGTGCATGCGTCCATAGACTTACCTTGCGTCTCTCCTCGTCTCCCGCCCGAAAATCCAAACTGCGCATGCACATGCATGCTTTGTGGCCACCCGAGCAGTTTTGGGTTTTCAGACAGGAGCGTGCGGTGAAGACGGGGTAAGTTTAAACCACTGTTAAAGCGTTTTGTTTAAAAAAAAAAAAAACTTTTTGCATATATCTACTGCTTGCTAGCCTTATATATATGCAAAAAAGCTAAGCAGGAGGGTTTAATAACCCTTTAATACTCACCTGATCCCTGGAACGACCAACAAGCGCAGACTCCCGTCTCTCACGCTGTCAGAATATGCATACAGAGCGTGTCGGTTACTATTTAAAACCGGCGCGCTGTGTGCAGCTTCTGAGAAGATACGCTATTAGCATAGCGGGGAAGGCGGCTGCGCATTTTGCATCGCTTCCGCTACGCTAATAGCGTATCTTCTCAGAAGCTGCACCCAGCGCGCCGGTTTTAAATAGTAACCGACACGCTCTGTATGCATATTCTGGCAGCGTGAGAGGAGGAACACTGCGCTTGTCGGTGGATCGGATCATGGGGATGTTTTATTTTTAAAAAAAAATGTTTTTTATATGTTCAAAATGTTACCTTACCTTAGCCTGGCGGTCCGTGGGGGCTTCCTGGTTGTGGGGGTCTGTTGTGGCCGCAGCTGCTCCATACCTCTGCCATCTGCACCCGGGTCCCCCTCCTGTACTCTTTTTTTCTGTCCCTCTCCATCTGCCATCTCAGCCCGCCCGCACGCATCAGACGCGGCTCTGTAATCAGGTGACCTCTAGTGGGTCCTCTGCAGGCCCCTGCGGTCTGTCCTCTACAGTGCCTGTTTAGAGGGCCGCTTCTGCCTGATCCAGCCAGCCCGAATCGCATACTAGCTGGATCAGGCAGACGCAGCCTTCTAAACAGGCATTGTAGAGGACAGACCGCAGGGGCCTGCAGAGGAACCACTAGAGGAGCGGCGGAATACAGAGCCGCGTCTGATGCCGCAGGTCAGCGGTCCCCCCCGGCCCCCCCTCGCTACAACACTGGCCGGGAGTGTCGGATGAACGGATGATCCGACACTCCCGGCGGAGAGACCAGGGGCCCGCCGCGCGCTGGATAACAATCCGGTGGCCGGCAACTTGCTGGCCCCCCCCCAGAGCCTGAGGCCCCGGTGCGCCCGCACCGCCTGCATCGGCATATCATCAATGGAGTCCCTGAGAGCTATAACAAACTGTCAAGCCAAAATCTCACGTTTTTGGTGGACTGACCCTTTAAGATCAGCCAAAGAACTGCTTATTTTTTTTTAAATTAAGCATCGCAAAGTTACCCATGGCAATCAGATTTCAACATTTTAGCGTGGCCAGAATAATGATAATTGTGTGATAATATACTTTACACAGAATAAATAAATAAGCATGTGTGGATCAATCAATTCTATCACAAAAGGTATTTTGTTGCACCTTAATGTTGTGAATTTCATTTTTCTTTGTGCACATTGTTGAGGACCTGGATACATAAGTCCCATACTGGTTAGCATAAAAAAATAACTTAAAAACATTTATGCAAAACGAGCCATGCCATAACATGACATTTTGATGAAGATATAATGCAGAGGGTAGGTATATCCTGACTGATACCTATCCTGTTAAAGACCAGAAATAGCCCATATTACTTGAAAGATGATTACAGAGAAGGATTGGATGAGCTCACAAAGCAAGTACAACATTAATTCTTTACTTTAGTAGGATTGTTAAAGAAGGAAAGTATTTTCT